TCTGGCCCCATACATAGTTATTATGATACTATAGACTATACTCCTTATGCTGTAATTTAAATGTCTGTGACTATTCTATAATTACCAACTTGTACTTAATCCCTTCACCTTTTTTCACCCAGGCTCTCAATCCTCCTCCCCACTGTGAACTCTCAGTCTGTTCTCCTTATAACCCTGTTTCTATTTTGTTTCTTTCTTTTTTTACGCACACATGTCTTTCTTAAATAACTTTTTTTTTTATAGTGCAGAATCCACTCCTTTTAGACAGACTGGTGTAAAATATAGGCTATATTTGTTTTCACTTCCTCAAAAAAAAAAGTAGTTTGTTTACTAAGAGAGCATTAAATGATTATAGGGAAAATGGGTCAAGATTACGTAAAAAAAAATCTGGAAAAAATCAAGCTTTGGCTATATCCTAAGCTCTATTTCAAAAACAACTTGTACTCTGTTATTTATAAAAATCATACTAAAATGGAAAGAAAAGGATAATTTTTATTATAAAATAACTAGCTTACTTTTAAATGAATTCAGAATTGCTAAATCAACTAAGGAAGCATGGATTTTAAGAACTTACCAAGTTAATAAACATGTACTGACACATTCTTACTAAGTAGCTGTAGAGTCTCTAAAAAATCCACACCCTTATAGATGAAAAATTCATTTGGTGTTATATTATGGGCCATGGTGATTAACTCTAGAAAATATCAGAATCTTTCTGAATATTTAAAAATAGATTTGTATATAACTACTGCTAACTCCTGTGCAATTCTGGTTTAAATAGTTGCTTAGAAGTGTATTCTGTCACACTTGAAAAATATAAATAGTGAGCTGGATGCCAACTTAAATTTCAATATAAAATCATGCAAGATAGAAAAAGAAAAGCAGAAGTCAAGTCAATTGACAAACTGGGGAAAAATATTGCAACTTGTATCACAGAAAAGGGTTTCAAAATTAAAGGACTAATCCTCCAGCACTTCCCCCAAAACAGTTGAAGGAGACACAACCAAATCACCAAAAAAAGAAATGTAAGTAGCCCACAAATATATGAAAATATGCTCAATAGTTTAGTTGGAATTTTAGGAACTCTCTATTATTTCTTGGGCTACTGAAGAACAAACTTTTAAAGAACTAGAAATTAATTGTTTAGTAACTGGCCTTTTTTTGAATTGAAATTCTCTGTATCAAGAAAAAATTTTCATGTTTTTCTCCCAGAATTAAGTCAGTGAGCAATGTGATTAACAAATACGTGATGTCTGTGACTTTTTAATTGCAAGAAATCAATGAGAGTCTATTTCTATTACATCAGTAGAGGAAATACCGTATATACCAACTGTGCATAAAGTATCATATTGCCTAACTTGGTTTATGTTACTGAGCAATTCTGTTAACCTCTGGCTTTACATTTTTCATCTGAACAGCAGGGGCTGGACACATTGCAGTCAAAAGCTATTGTTAGAGCTAGTATTCTAACTTGGTTTTGTTCGCCTTTTTTGTAACCTGTGATATGTAAGTTTAAGACTCTGAAGTGTAAATGAAATATTTTATATGCGCCATTATAATGAGAAAGGAATAAAAGGCTTTATCTTTGCAAATCTACTTATGGGCTATGCTTTATTACATACATACTTTCTAAAGCCAAAAGGAAACTAAAAGAAAATACATTTCTTCTGAGAAATGCTCTCCTTTCTGTGTTTGATTGGTTTCAGGATACCTGCATTGGGTGTGACAAACCAGTCTTGCTCTTGCTGATAACAGCTATTGGCTGGCAGGTGCTTACCAGGTGCAAACAAAGGAGGCATTTCTCCCAGGGCCAACATCAGAAAAGATAGCTTATCCTCCGTCTAGTCGTTCTCTTTCAGGTTTTCACAAACACCAAAGTTGAAATTCCCCAGGGTAGTGGAAGGCCTTCTCTGAGAGCACTAGGTCTGTTCATGCTGCTACCCTCATCTCTCAAAAGCATGATGTAGATATACTAATTTAGGAAGCAAAGAATCATCTAATGTTGTTTTATTTTAAAGAGATTGGCCTCTGTTTAATGACATCTACACACACTTACCTCTGTTCATAAAGCCTTAAAGAAGGTCTACCACACAGCTCAGAGCCTGGTCTACAAACATGCATATTTTCCATTCTCTCTTCATTTTCTTTTGGCAGTTTGGCAACATCTTTAGGGAAAGTTGGAGGAACCATAGTGTTTACTCTGCTGCTTCACTCAGAGCCTTGAGTCTTTTGAGTTCTATTCCTGTCAGGGCTTTAGAAAGTTCACTGTCGATGCTCTCCTGTAAAATACTCTCCTGTGAACTCAGTAACTAAAGTAATCTCAAGAGAAAGGGCTAGACACTAGGCTGCACCTTAAGGGTTGGCTTACCTGCTTGATTTAGGGGTGTTTTCTGTGCAGACAGTTAGATTCATTCCTTTTAGAGACAAATCTAGCTTTGTTCTTAGTGTCTAATTATTATTGCAATTAAAATCTCTCAGACCTTTCCCAGCATTTGGTAAATCCATGCTCATGGAGAATAGGCAGAAACATGTTAAATCACTTGACAGCAATGCCTACATATTTCATTTAGTAATTAATACATATTTATTATGCACCTACTACAGGTCTAGAACTGTCTGAGCACTGGAAAGAAAGCATGAAAACTCTTCCTCTCCCTTATGAAGCTTGTCCAGCAAAATATGGAACAAGGTTCACAACATATCTTACGGAGCCTCAGTTGAGTTAACTCAAAATAAGTTAAAGAAATCAACAAGAATACCATCAATTATATTAAGAATGGTTTGATGATTCCCAGGTATAGAAATTTCACTGATTGAAAGAAAGTTTGAGTAAAACCCAATCATTGACTCTAATTTAATACCTGTAATTTGGAAACCAAACACTAGCCATATTTTTTTCCCTGTTAAATTTTCTCATGGGAAAAAAAGAAAAGAAAGAAATTTACTTCCAAACCTAGAAATAGATGAGAAAATTTTTTTCCAGCCTTAGCGAGATACAATTGATATACAACATGATGTACAGATGGTTGTAGAGAATAGATTCTCTGTTTTCACAAATAACTGTCAACATTGAGCCACAGAACATATCTGTTATACCTATAATAACTAAAAAAAAGATAATTCCTCCTTACTGAGTTTCCTATTTGTTACCTTAATTATACCTCCTCCAGGTAAATGTCATCATTGAGTGCCTGGATTTAATAATCCAATTTTCTAAGGTCTTTATTTTATATATCTGCTCCCCACTTATTGTCATTTTGCTGGGCTGAAAATCCAAACATTGTGTTGGTCTGGGAGGAAGAGGAAATTCCATGATTGGTTGAACCCTGAAAGTCTTCAGTACATTTCAGATGCAGAATTGTTTAAATATATGTAAAATTTTGTAATCCCAGAAGATGCATTTGTATCAAATCCCAGAAGGTTTGTACTACGATCTTCCACTTCCTTACCATCCTCTTATTCCTTAACCCTTCTGATAGTTTCTATCACCATTTTATGAACAAAGTAGTTGTTGACATAAAAGCTGGGTTATTAAAATGTTTTCTTTACCCGATTCCACATATAACCTGGTCAATGTAGAAAACCGAAAGGCGCAAAAAATGAAATGTGCATAATCCTATCCACTATAAGTTATTTTGGTATATTTCTAACTAATCTCCCCTTAGGTGTATCAATAAACTACTTTTGTTTTATAAAAGAACATGTTTATAATATGTTCTTGCTCTTTGCTCTTAAGAACAAAACAGTTTCTTATATTCGTATTTTTTTACACTGCTTACTGCATAGAATTCCATCGCATTCGCCACCTAGCAAAAATTTCTTATACTTTCACTAGATACTTAAGAGCCTATATTTTTTCCCCAAAATTTTATGTCTTTGCTCACAGGTCTGATGAACTCTGTGGGATGAACTCTAAATGGAACTCTTGCTTTAAAAGTCATGTCCATTTAAAAACATCAAAAACACATGACAAAGTTATGTTAAAAACTAAACTGTTGTGGGTGCTGGTCCTCCCAATGTTTATCCACATTGTTTGACATTTTTATTCTTTGCAACTAATAGGAAGAAAATGTTAACTCTTTCTGTTCTTTTAATATTGGTCATTTTTCTTTTATTAGTCATACAGGTTTACTCGCAATTCTACAAATAAATGTTGCTCAACCTTATATTTTTAGCATTGAGAGGCAGTTTCATCAGAAAAAGTCTATTATTCATCCCTGTCTATTTCAACAATAATGGCATTCAGCGCTTCCAAGAATTTGATATTAACTTGTCCTTACCTTTTCCATTCATTTCCTCTTTTCATTCATATTTCCTCTTCAATAAAACTTTTATTCGCTCAATGGTAAGGGCCCCATATCCTTATGGCCAGGTATCAATCTACTTTTCCAGGGGTCCTCTCAAGGGGGGTAGGGGCAATCATTTACATGCGGATTTGGTGGTGCAGTGGCCAAACCATCTTTGTGGTTTTGAAATATAGCAGGCCTTGAGAGCGTTCAGTAGCGCACTTTCTAACATGGAAATCTCAAGTATTGTCCCTAATTATGTCTGATTAAGGCCAAATGTGGACCAAGGGCCCTGGCACTGCTGACAGTCTGGAGGCCCCTGGACAAAAGGGTAGTTTTGAAGGATGTGGCCCCAAGACAAAGGTGGAGCCTTGAATCTTGGTGGCACCTATGTGACCCACTGCCAAAGCGTTGGGGTTTCTATTTTCAGGTCGAAGCGCTTTATTCTTCTATCTAGAGTTCCGGAAATGGCGCAAAGATGGTTGAGCAAGCTCCTGTTTCCTCTCCGCCCTTCCTGGATCGGGGGCCTGTTGTAGCGACGCAGGGGTGAAACACCGCTTCCCGCAAAGCACAGCTGGGTTTGCGCGTAAGTAAACAGCAGTTACGGCCCAGGCCACGCCCCGTTTCTCCACTAGCAGCGCAACCACCCAGCGCGGAAACCCCGCCTTGCAGCTTGCCCTCGGCTCCTCCTCATCCCAGTTAGCTGTCACTTCCGCTCGGGCGTCGCCCATACCCAGTCCACCCCTGGCTGCAACGCTGTCTGTGTAGTGAGTCTGAGATGTGCGGGGTCTGGTACCCGCTAATCTCTCGGACAATGACGGCTTCCTGCGGGTCTCGACCGGCATTTCTCCGCCGCCCCGAGAGTCCCCTTTCTTCTTGGAGCTTCGTTGTTACGATGGGTTTAGTGTTCCTGCTTACAACACCCACCGTAGGTAAGGGTCTGGAGCGGTAATCCTCCGGGACGAACTGGAGCAGGTCCAGGAGTAGAGCGACTGGAGCCGAGGGCGGACAGGGGTTTGCTTAGTGGGTCGTGTAGGAGACGCGGGCCTTGGTCGACCCAGGTGGTGCAGAGTTGGGGTGACGGCGTGGCCCGAGCTCCCTGAGTTGTGCTGTGCGAGATTCCGGGGGGTTGGGGACCTCGAAGTGCCAGCCTTGAAGGTTGTTTCGTGATCGACCCTGAGCCTTGCGCGGTGCTGGGCGCGGCTAGTATTTGCCCTGTCAAGTACAAGTTTGCAAAAGCTTTCAGGTGTTTTCGGGACTGAGCCATGCGGTATAGGAGTGTAGACTCGGTGCTCAAGGTGACGGCTGTATCTTGAGTTCCCGGGCGCATGGGGATATTGCTGGGGCCTCACGGTGTTTCCTGCGCGGGGTGATGTTTTGGTATGTGGAGTGCTTGTGTCCTCCTGGGTTGGGTAGTGGGAGCCGACGCCCTGTTAGCGGGTGCATGCTTTAAGGAAGTGGCCAAAACAGCTAGCTGTGCGGAGTTTGGGGCTGGAAGATTACTGCTTGCTTTTGTCGGGGCTGGGGAGCGCACGTTTCGGACCATTCAGTGAGAGGTACGGTTTTGGAAAGACGCCCAGTGCTTTTGTACTGAACGTTAGCAGGTTCCTTGTTGCCCAAATTCATATTAGGATTAATTTGCAGGCTGTTGCGCACCCCGCCCACCCACCCTCCGCGCGCGCCCCGGATTGTTCTTGTTCCCATCAAGTATATGCAGTTACCCTATTTAATTACCAAATGGTTTTTTTGACTCCCCCCACCCTCATTAGGTTGAGTCATATTTGAGAGGATATGAGAAGTAACCTGAAAAAACATTGGTACACAAACCTAGTGCGAATTTAGTATCCTAAGACATGGACAATAAATAATGTTAATATGGTTTCGCCCTACAGGTTATAATCTAAGGCTGAAGGCCCATTTATTATAAATTTGTTTCCTTTTTCACTAAATAGAATAAGTACTTTATATGCTAAAAAAGACATGACATGCTTATTGTATAAAATCTACACAAAGTGTCATCAGATAGGGACCTGGGCCCGAGTGGTCTTCCTAGGGCCAGCTGTAGTGTGGAGATTCTTGACTTTGTGTGGGAAAGATTTCACTGCAGGAGTCTAGATGATTATGAGGGTACATTTTTTAAAGCTGGGGATGATGAAACACAAGGAAGAGCTTAGCATAGAAGAAGCAACAGGAGAGCCTAGGCTTGGCTGTCTTAGCTCACTCTGAAGTCAGAGAAAAGCCGGCCTTTGGGGTGGGTTCAGAGGATCAGCCTGGGACAAGCTGCCAGCAGCCCATTGCCTTAGAGTTTAGGAGACCTGTGCCTGTGAAGAAAGGAGTAGGGGAAGAAGAAGGGAGAGAAAATGGCGCAGGCTGCTCCCCAGAGGGAGAGTGCGCACTGTGTGCGTCCTTTTTCTTGAGTCTTTTATCTCATTCTTGCAAGCTGGAATCTTAGCGGACATCTCGGGGAAGGGTTTCAGTAGAATATTCATCAGTTCTCCAGGTGTGCCCTTTTAGGGTCGTGGTCCTTGCAGGTTGGTCAGTGCGGGGCAGGTCTTTAGTCATTTCAGTTGTTGGGGGTGGTCCACCTGGTTTTGCTGCTTTTCTGGGCTTGGAGCTGAACTATAACTGAGGCCTAGATGTTATCTCCAGGGAGGAAAGGTTACCCTGGGGGTGAGGTCCTTATTTTCCCAGTTTTGTCCCATGCCAGGCACTGGGGGCCTTTGCCCTGGAGACAGGCTGCACCTGGCTGCAAATTGCTTGGCCACTGTGCTCAGCTCTCTGTCTCAGTTTCCCTCTTCCACTTGCCAAGGCATTTTCCTACGTTCTCACTATCTTGTCTCAGAAGGACAACCATTGAATACTTTGGTGTATTTCCAGCTGTCTTAAATACATGTATATTTCTACACCCAATTTATTTTTAGGATCCTACTACATATACAGTTTGCATGCTTCATTCTGTCCTTAGCAGAATTCATTGAATAAATATTGCCATGAATGTGCCAGGTCCTGTGCTTGTTCTGGGGCTACACTGGTGAGCAATAACAAACCATTCTGATTTTTATGATCCTTTATCATTATTTGTCAGTTTGCACCTGCGTCTGCATGCATACACACGCGAACATAAACAGGGACTGTGTTTTGTCCACTGTTAGATCCCCAGTACCAGGCACACAACAGGCAATCAATCAATATTTGCTGAAATGTATTAGGACTGGCCGGCAGTAACCAAACTATAGTACTTGTATGTTATAACCCAAGACAAGTGCTCTGGAGGGAAGGAGCAGCATGGTTCTCTGACAGCATTTAACGAGTGGTAAAGGAAGACTTTTCTGCCCATGAGACAGGCCCGATTCTGCTGCTTTGGGGCCTCTGCACTTGCTCTCCCTCAGTCTGGGAACATTCTCCTGCCGCCTCTTGCATAATTGGCTCCTTCTTACCCTTCAAACTCAGTTGTGGCCTTAACCCTGAGGGACCTTCTGTGACCACCTTATCTCACGTAGACACGCATACACACATTTGGCTCCAGTCATCTCTATCTCATAGTCACCCTTCCAAAACTATGTCCTCTCCCCAGTAGAATATGGCGGTCTTGTGTATCTTGTCACATTGTGGTTCCAAATACTGCATTTTTTGCTTCAATGTCAGCACTCTTGTATCGATATGAAGTAGCAGGAAGTTAAATATAATATTCAGCTGAGCCTTAGAGCTCAGGAAAAAGATTCTCCTATTTCTAAGAGGAAGATTCTGTTATCTGTTTTACTTAAACAAATGGACAGCGAGGTACTAACCCAGGAAAATGGGTTTATTTGGGAACAACAAAGAATTGCATTTCAGGGTAGGTGGTCTAAAGGTAAACTAAGAACAAGTACAGAGGAAGAAAGAAGGGGAACTGAAAGTTTGATAGTAACTTTTCATTGGTGGAGTGAATGGGCCGAGAGGAATCTTCTTCCTTCTGTTGAGGCAGCAAAATAGTATCACCTACTGTGGGAGATGCATGGTAAGGTGTCTAACAGTTGGGATCATGAGTGTGTATTGATTGTTATGTGTGTGAGAGTTTTCTTTTCTAGTTTTCTGACTCCATTTTATTTATTTTTATTTTTAAAAATGTTTATTGATTTTTAGTGGTGGGGGGAGAGAAAGAAACAAACATCAGTTGGTTGTTCCTCCCATATGCACCCCAACCGGGGATTGAACTCACAACCCACTTATGTGCCCTGACCAGGAATTGAATCCCCAGTCTTTTGGTTTAGAGGATGACACTCCAATTAACTGAGCCATACCAGCAAGGGCTCCTGACTCTGTTTTAAATGTGGTATCTATTTATTAATTTTCACATACCCCCCTTAAGATGAAGATATTTCTCTGAAATCATTACTGATTAAGAGTCAGGTTTCTCTGAATTCAGTGACCTTTTTTACCTCGATGCCAGGAGGAACCTTTCCTGGGTGTTATGTTTCACGTCAGAGGAAACCGTAAAAAATTGTAAACCCATTGTGATCACATTTGAGTAATGCGGGGGTGGGCAGGAGAGATCTCTCAGGAATTACCCCTCTGAAGTTTGTATTTTAGAATAGTGAATCTGGCAGACGCTCACTCAGAACTGAAAGAATTAAACAAGAGCTTTGGGAAGACACAATGCATAAAAAAACATGAAACAATTAAATAGTATTGTTATCTCAAAAGAAACTGTTTGGAACAAAATGTATTATCAGTAGTACAGCCAGTAGGTTGCACATTCAGAGACTATGAATTGGGTAAGAATCCATGATCAGATCAGAAATAGCCTAGATGAAAGAGAGACTTCTGTGAATTTTAAACCTCCTAACTGGCCTGGTCTGAACAATCCATCAGGTGTACCCTGCATCGATTTTAGGAAATTTTTATGTTCAGGTCACCAGATGGTGTGCAGATTCAGCCAGGATCAGGTGCTTTTTATAAATGTGTTGTGGAGCTTGTTGCCTGTAATTTGGCAGCAGAAGGGTTGGTTAGCAGGACCTGATGGGGCCTTTGTAGCAAGGTTGAAAAGAGTCTTTCTGGAGGTGTCTTTTCTAGTAGATGAAGTGTCCAGGGCCCCAAGCGGTGTCTAGGGTCTTCTCCCTGGCCTGCACTGTGAAAAGACTTTTTTTTTTTTTTTTAACTAGAACATGGTTAATTTTGATAGGAGAGCTTAGGCCTTTAAACATTGAAATCTACTTCCTTTCATAAGTTGTGGATCAAAAGAGGCAGGGCCCAGGTGCATCGGGCTCTGTGTGACGGTGACAAAGAGTGAGAGTTTGAGACCCGAACGAGGTGGACCTGAGATTTAGAAGGACCAGCCACAGAGTTTTTGGCCGAGGTATTTAGAGGATTTCTGCAAACTTTCCCATGTGAGTCTTCATGCTGTTAGTGCATTTGGCTAAACCTGAGGCTTGAGTGTGGTCAGCACAGTGGAAGTGTTGTCCCGCTGGCCACGCAGCACAAACCTGTCAAAGCACCTGACTGGTAAAATGGGTTCCCTGATCCCTATGGGTTCTGGAGGGGTTTTCTGCTTAGGGATAAACTTTTCCACGAGGACTTTAGCTGCAGAAGAGGCTGTGTAGCCTGTTTACAAGGGAAAGCTTCATTCTAGTAAGAAAACATACAGGCTATGACTAAAATATATTTATATCCATGAGATGGGGAAGCTGTATGAAATCCATCTGCTGGGCAGCAAAGTGTCCAAAGCATTTGGATCAGGCTTTCCCGGATTGTACTTTGGAGAAATAGGTGCTTTTTGTGGCCTTGTTAATGGTTCCCCACCAATATGGATTCATAAATTCTATCATTTTGTCAGTGAACTGATGGTTTAATGTTTGTTACAGTACTAGGGAGCAGGAATTTTAGAGCCTCTGGTTGGACTGGGTTGTTATTTGGCCCAAGCCAGAGCTTCGTCTTTTCATCAGATCAACAATTT